TGAGCTGGGTAATGATGGGCTGGTCACTTCTGTGTGATCCTGGTCAAAGGACAATAGAGCTCCTGAACTTCTCTACAAAAGAAAGGGAGGGTGCAGAGCACAGAGCCATGAACACAGGTCTGTGGGAAATCAGGGCACCCAAAGAACCTCCTTTTGAAGAGGGTTTCATCACCACTGATGTGGCAGACTTTTAAGAGCTAACAAATAGACAAATCAAGCACAATACTGATTAAAAGCTTGGTTACTGGTCTTATTGGGAAATGGATACCAAGCTTGCAGGTTTCAGGCCAAGTCCCACAGGGAACTTCTCTCAGACTCATCCTGGCCATTTACATCAAGGAACAGAATGAGGAGGATCCCATTCCAGCTGGAATGTGGAGAGGACACAGGGACCAGGAAAGCAGCAGATAATGAAGAGTACAGGTCATTGGTTGAGAGCAAAATGGACCGATGAGAAAAATCAGCCCCAGCAGCTCTTTGGTTTATATCTGGTTGCATCCAAACCCTCCCTGGTGACAGAGCATGAGCACAGTGACAGTGCTGGGGACAGCCCTGAGGAGCTGCTGCTCCAAAAAGGTGCTGGGCATCCAAGTGACCAACTGACTGAAAACAAACTGAGTGAAATCTTTTTGGTGGAAAAGGTCAGACATGAGGAGGAAACTCTTCCCTGTGAGGCTGGTGAGAGCCTGGCCCAGGTTGCCCAGAGAAGCTGTGGCTGCCCCATCCCTGGCAGTGTTGAAGGGCAGGTTGGATGGGGCTTGGAGCAGCCTGGGCTGGTGGGAGGTGTCCCTGCCCATTGGACTGGGTCTTTAATATACCTTCCAACCCAAACCATTCCATGATTCCAAGAAACCAGCAGGATCCTGGATGAGGCACCAAGGGGATGCCCAGGCTGGGCACGTGGGAGCTGCTGCTCAGCCAGCACCTGCCTCTGAGATCTATACTTGGGAGACACCGCTGAGAACTTGGGAAGAGCTTTGCTGAGCCATGAAGTGGTGTGTGGAAAGCTGAGCCTGCCACGACACTGAGGCAGCTCAACTTGTTCAGCCACAAATAGCAGAAAACAGCCAGAAGCAGCTCCCAGAGCCCCCCCAGGAGCAGCTCCCAGAGCCCCCCCAGGAGCAGCTCCCAGAGCCCCCCCAGCACCAACCAGCAGATGCAGAGGCTCAAAACAGGTCTTTTTTCACAGAGGAGCAGGAGCTGCTCCTGTGCCTCACACACCAGCTGTGAGATCTGACACCTCAGACTTTAAATTCACCTGCATTTTTTCCCCAGGGTTCCTCTCAGGCCTGTAACCTGGGGGCTGATTTGAGGGCCACATTCACAGCCATGGGCAGCTGCAGCATCACCCTGACCTGCCACAGCACTGAACACAACCCAGGGCACAACAATTCCCCCTGGAACCTCCTCCAGGAGTGATGGAAATTAATTTGAGACACTAAGAGTCACTGGGATCAACCCAGAATGTCCCAGTAGGAGACAGGCCACACACTGACCACTTAAATATTTCTTGAGCCAGTCAAGAAGTTGATTCCAGCAAATTTGCACCACGAGAGCCCCTGATCATGGAATCATGGAATGGTTTGGGTTGGAAGGTTCTGAGGAGACCTTAGAGCACCTCCCAGTACTTGAAGCCTTAGGCCTACTGGAAAGCTGGGGAGGGACTTTTCATCAGAGAAGACAGTGACAGGACAAGGGGTGATGGTTTTAAACTGAGAGAGGGGAGATTGAGGTGAGATATGAGGAAGAAATTCTTCACTGTAAGGGTGGTGAGGAACTGGGATGGGTTGCCCAGGGAGGCTGTTGATGCCCCAGCCCTGGAGGTTTTTAAGGCCAGGTTGGAGGAGGTTTTGTGCAGCCTGGTGTGGTGGGAGGGTTCCCTGCTCATGGCAGGGGGGTTGGAGCTGGATGATCTTTAAGGTCCCTTCCAACCTTAACAACATCTATGATTCTATGATCTAGATCCAACCCCCTGCATGGGCAGGGACACCTCCCACCAGCCCAGGCTGCTCCAAGCCCCATCCAACCTGCCCTTCAACACTGCCAGGGATGGGGCAGCCACAGCTTCCCTGGGCAACCTGGGCCAGGCTCTCACCACCCTCACAGGGAAGAATTTCTTCCTAATGTCCGACCTAATTCTCCTTCCTCTCTTCCAGTTTTAAGCCATTACCCCTTGTCCTCTCACTATATGCCCTCCTCAGGATCACCTCCTCAGCTGGGTTCCCCCAATTCTTTCAAGGTCTCCCTGGAGCCTTCTCTTCTCCAGGCTCAACACCCCAACTCTCCCAGCCTGGCTCCAGAGCAGAGCTGCTCCAGCCCTCCCAGCATCTCCATGTCCCTCCTATCATCAAGGTCAGATTTACACTCCAGTGCCAGAACAAGGCAATACCAGGTGTGTGTGTGGGAACATCTGTAAAATGCTCAGTCTTGTACTTTTTTTCCCCTTCTTTGTGGTTCAACACCTGGCAAAGGGCTGCGCTCGGTTCTGTTGCTGGTGTCAGCCAGAAACCAAGGCAGAGCTGCCCAAATTCTGCCTCCCGCCCCCAGGCAGCCCCCACTCCTCTGCTCCCCACCCCTGCCTGGGAACAACCCAGAGCAGGATGTGGTGGCACCAACAGCCACACTCGACCCCCCAGGTGACTCACTCCATCTCGTAGACAGTGACTGGAAGTGTCTGCTCCATCAGGGAGAACTTCTTGGTTTTCACAGGTTTAATGATGGGCTCTGGAAACAAGAGAAGGAAGAAGAAACCCCTGTCACCAGAGCCTGGAGCAGAGGGCTCCAGAATGGGCACAGGAGACAGGAACTGCAGACACAACTGCTGCTTCTGAACTGATTCTTTTGGATCATGTAAAAGCATTTGGACCAGATGGCTGGTGTAGGGCCCTGCCAGCTGAACCTTCCTGCTCTGTCCCAGGAGGATCAGAGGAGAGGACTTCAGCACATTTTCATGTCTCCTCAAGTCCCTCTCCAGTGTCTGCTGGTGCCTCTTCTTCAAATAATCCCACGTGCCAAAGTCTGGGCACCACCACACAAGCAGGAGCCTGCACCTTCCTGAGAAGCCACCAGGGCAGGGCACAAAACTCGTGGCCAGGAGGGAAGGGAACATTGTGTTCCCTCTTTCAAGGATCCCCCCAGAGTCTTCTCCTCCCCCCACACCCAATTGGCCCCTTCCCCCCTCACCTGTCAGGGGCTGTGTGTCCTCCTCCTGCACGATGGTCTCCACCTCAGGCCCATAGACCTCCTCAGCAGTGGGGTAGTACTTCTTGTCCTCATGGAGCACCACCTCCATCCCCGGGTGCTCCTCGTCGTGGTCCCCCATGTCATCATCATCCTCATCATCCTCCAGCTGCAACAACAAACAGCTTCAGCTGCCACCAGCCCCAACAGGCTGCACAAGCACCCCAGGAGGGGCCAGAGTCTGACAGGGGAAGGAATCGCTGGGAACCAGAGCCTGGCACGGGGAGGAATCCCTGGAGCTGTGGAGGTGGTGACTGTGCTCAGCCCCTCCCCGGGAGGCCCGGGCAGAATGAGGCCCATCCCCCCTCCCTCCACCTGCCCCCCACTCACCTCATCCAGATCCTTGGACTCTCGTCCCAACTCATCATCGTCATCATCCGAGTCCAGCTCCGGCCCGATGTAGTTCCCAAACTCGTCGTACAGGTCGGTGTCCATCCTGGGGGGGCAGCGGGGTCGTCCGGGCTCTGCCCCGCGCGCCCCGGGCCCCTGCCCTCCGCACCCCCCGCGGCCCC